TTTTAGATCTACATCGTCATCAACAGTATGATTACTAATATAAAAAAAATAAGTAACAATTTGTTCTTAGATTTGTCCTGAATGTACTCAAAGCGTTAATTGCACGCCTTACAACGTGAGGGAGTGCTCTACTCTCGATATGTGGCCATACCTCAATTTCGCTACATAAAATCGTTCTTATACTCGTAGCTAGACATCAAATCCATATTATTATTAACGTTACAATGACTACAGACATTGAATTATTAGTTTAATTTATAATTGATTCTTAAGGCTTTCGAAAGTTCTTCCAACTAAATCAGGTCTTTCAATAACTTCCATCCATAATTTGCATCTGAAATTTTTAAATACAATACTTATTAATCAATTTTCATAATTATCAACCCCAGAAACCTTAAAATTGACATCCATATTGTATTATTAAAAAAAAATCCACCATCTTGGATATGAACATTGATGCCGTTTTCGTAATTGGCACCCCAAGAAACCTCGAAATTGACATCCATAACATTAAAAAAATAATATCCACCATCTAGAATTTAAAAATGAATACCATTTTCGTAATCAGCACCCCAAGAAACCTCGAAATTGATACCCATATCACATTATTAAAAAAATGTCCGCCATCTTGGATATAAAAATGGATCCCATTTTCGTAATAATCACCTCAATAAACATTGAAATTGACATCCATATCATACATATATTAAAAAATGACCGCCATCTTGGATTTAAAAATAAATGTTAGTTTCGTAATTAGCACCCTGACAAACCTAAAAATTGATCCCTAAATCTTAATATTTTATAAAAAAATTTCGAAAGACCGAAGACGAGACACTATACTATAGTATGATCTAAAATCTTAGCCTGTCCAACCACACGATTTAGATAAAGAAAAAAAAATCGAACTTCGAAACAGTAATGCCCAGCGACTAGTACGTATTTTTTACGTTTGCAATTTGGCATGACATGACAAAATATACATAATGTAAAAATAATAACAATATTTATTTACCTTTCTTCCATGTGCGGGATTTGGTTAAATCGCAGATCTTTATTTATGCGAGATGACGACTTGCAATCTCTCACAGCACACGTCGTATGAACCATTTTAATTATAAGTATCAATACTAAATTTAAAAAGTATAAAAGCAAACGCGCGTTAACCTTCGAAGGCGTGTCCCGAGCTCCCGAGCTACTAATACGATTGACATGTGCAGCTCGGGCTCGTCCTTTCCGCGTCTCACCCCTCACACCCCGCACGATTGCCCTGTCTAGACGTCTTCGTCGGACGACTGTATGGATTTATAGACTGTGCTTTCAGGTAGCGCGGTATCTAGTCAGAGCGCGCGATGACTTATCATTAATCTAAGCATAGTAACAAATTTTAATTTAAATTAACATTAAATTATTTTGAGGTTGATTTTAGTTTTGTAATGATCTCGTTTTCTTTTTAACATAATAATAGATTTGGCCGCATATTATAATTACAAATCAATATGGATTTAATGGTCTCTACCGACAACTTGTTTCGTTCCTCCGTCCATAGAGCCGCCAACAACGAAAATATTCTTTCTACATTTGCGTTGTGAGCAGGAATTGTTCAAATTAGCAAAACAAGCACTGAGGAGCGAGATGTGCGTGAGCGTCGAAAGGGCTGTATACCGTCTCTCATAGCGCGCGCCCCCGCAGCTCCCGCCGGCCACCGGCTCGGGCAATTTTTGTAGTTTGTTGAAATGGTCGAAGAACAGGACCAATTAGAGACATGCGGACATGTAGCAATACGGGACTCTGCTTCTGCGGAAAATGGCTTCTTACTTTAATCAGATTCGATTAGGGTCTTAGTGTTCAATAATATAAATTAATTATTAACCCAGAAATATTTAAATTTCTAATGTAAACAGGTTATAAAAATCTTGCTTGAGTCTTGCAGAGTACATATATTCCGGCAATAGTGTTTTTATTGTATCGCCGAGCAATTGAGTTCATAAACATGAAGCAACATTGGGGCTAGGCTAAGCAAACTGCGTTGCACAATATAGATGTAAACGGCAACTTGACGGCTGTACCAAAGTACCTCGTTTATGAGAGTTTTTATGCTTAATCTAGACTATTTAATTGTTCGCACGCGTTGCTGAATTTCAAAATTTATAACTAAACTTTATGACAAGACGTGTTCTTAAGAATGATTAATATTACTTTGATAAGAAAAAAGCATAATTAGCAGAATTGATTGACACGGTACAGCGCATATAATACTGACTAGACTGATATCGACAGAGTTGCCTGGAGTTCGACAGCGTCAGCTACTTGAAGAAGGTGCGCGCTGCCGCCGCCACCACTGTCGTCGCCCTGGACGCCCCCGATTCGCCTGAACCTGAATAAAAAATGCAACTACACCCTTCCTATGCCTCACCCGATAACTTGCACTATAACACGTTAGTAGTACTTCTACAAGCAACGGTAGATTGTTAATGTTTTTTCGTTATGTAATTTTTGTCATCGTATTATAATGATGATAATACCAATGATGGTTAATTTGTTTCATTAACCATTTATCATCAGTCATCAAATTGTCAAATTTGACTATTTTTGGCCGGGAATTTGATAACTACGTTAGTTTCAATAAAAGCGATAAATGCCGCTATAAGCTCGTCGAATTAAGCTGTCTCAAAGAAATAGAGAACGACAGAATATTATAGCTTTAATGTGACTATATTTTCTTCATTTACCAGCGATTATCATGGAATGAAAATAAAATTAATCGTTGATAATCGTCCGTTGCTTTATTATTATTTGTCAACTTTTGCACTCTACGCACATATCCCCAGAATATTATGTTAAGCTTATTACATGCAATCTCTCGGGCGAGTTTTTTATTTATATATCACTTTTGCTACAAAAATCGCTTCAAGTTTTTCATAATAGGCGCAGGAAATCAAATCCTAGTGGTTATATTTATAGTGCCTATCACTGACCATGAGAACACCTTTAGTTTTTTGAAATTTTATATTACAAATGAATAATTATTGTCAGCTGTTGGGTTTTGTTAACAAAACGTTGTTTTGGCAGCCGTCCGTTATTGGATGATTTTTGTTTTACGTAATACTAATTTAGCGGACTTAACTTACTAAAAGTATTAGCTCACCAAATTATTTAATTCTTTTATTCATTGTTTGTATAGTACGAGTATACCTTATTAAGTCAATAATTATTATTTTATATTTAAGCTGAATGCGGATCTTTAATGATTCAATTTGTGATAGAGATTAGACACGCTTTTGCGTTGGTTAATATTTCATAAATTATAATGTCTACTGTTGGAAATTGAATCTTTGGATAGTAATAATATTGCAGAGAAATTAACAACATTTTAGTGTACCATTGTAGCCGTGAAAACAATTTAAGAACGACTAATAATAATATAATCAGTTCATACGATCGTATGAATAATTTTGAACTTCTCATAATGTAAATATTGACTATATCTACGTCATAAAAAGATTCCATTTGATATAAGAAGAATGCTTGCATTTCTCTGTGTGATTGTATACTCATTCATATTTGTTTATAGTCTAGTCCTTCCATATAGACGTGGATTCTCACTACTCTGTAAGCTTTTATATCTCGGAGGGAGCCTTGCAATCAATATTTTATTATTCAATATTATATCATATAGGAGATAATCGAATAATTGAGTTTTTTATTGTTATTAGAATTATTTTGTTATATTTATTCTAGAGTTTTATTGAAAAATTGCTGTGCATTGAACCAAATAATGTTAGTAGAGTTAATAGAGTTGAAACATATAATTTTATAATATTGCCAGGCTTCCTCTTACTTTTTACTAAGTTTTATTGAATGTTTGACTAAACGGAAAGATATATTATTATTGTATGAAGACTGTTCCTATTTAATATAAAAAGAATACGTTCAGGAGAGAATTATAACTATCAAAAAGTGTTTTGCCAATGCTAAAATAAATTTTACTATTACTGTAAAGTCATGTCTTGGAGTTTGAAACACATGCATTGTATATAAGTATCAAGAAATACTTTATTAATATAAATGGCAAAAAATAGATTTTTAACTGATTGAATTTCTTACAAGTCTATGGCTGCTGTTGTTAAAGTTTAAATATATGTATGTTGTAAAGAATATATTTTATTCTATTTGTTTAAAACACATCGTGTTCAGAAAAAATCTACTTTTAAATATGAAAGGAACAGCATTTCTAAAAATTATGCAATAATAATCTATAAAAACATTACAAAACAGAATTGAAACACGGTGCTCTTCTGAAAAGTATTATCAACCGTTGTTTTTAAATAAATGTTTACACGTGTCAAATCTATGGCTATGTTGTGAAAATTGACGAAAGAACTATCTACTAAATTTTTTAATAAACCAAAATTTTGTTTTATTTTATTCCTAACGCAAAATTTACCTGAATTAAATAAAAATATAAAGTTTTAAACAAGCCTTTCAAACTTCTGACTCATGTAGCGATTAACTTAGAAATTTTGTTTGTATAATGCAGCTATTTAAACTATATGCCAGATGCAACATATTTGCAGTAAAGTACTCGTACATTGTATAATTTTTAAACGTAGTTTTGATTTGACTGATTGATAACGTTTTTATAAGCGATAAGGGAATTTAATTCCCTACTTCACGGTGGTGCTACGCTGAAGGCATGAAGCTGGAACGAGGTGGTTTTGTTATTTAAGAAAAGTTATAAAACTTTATCGAAGAATCGTCTCACATGCAGATTACGAATTCCAAACTCCCCGTGAGCCGGTTTTTTTAGAAATCCCTAATACCATAGACCACATCAAAGCCTTCGGCAGGATATGCAGGAGATTTAGAGTATAACTCGCCATTTTAATGATGGGCCCCTAAATATCTCTTTTTTATTTTATAAATATTTACTAATATTTTACCCGCTATCTAGTCCATGGTGTTCACCTGTGGTGCTGGTAAAGAAGAAGGACGGCAGCATGCGGTTTTGTGTTGACTACCGCCGCCTGAACGACGTTACAAAGAAGGATAGCTATCCCTTGCCAAGAATTGATGACACGCTGGACATGCTTACAGGCGTAAAGTGGTTTAGTACGCTGGATCTGAAAAGTGGCTACTGGCAGGTTGAAATTGACCCTAAGGACAAGGAGAAAACTGCATTCTCCACAGGAAAGGGTCTGTGGCAATTTAAAGTCATGCCGTTTGGATTGTGCAATGCTCCAGCAACGTTTGAAAGATTGATGGAGCTTGTACTTACCGGGCTAATTGGAGATGCCTGTCTGGTCTATTTGGATGACATCATCATCGTAGGCCGTACGTTTGAGGAACACCTTCAAAACCTGGAACGCGTGCTCATGAAGATCCAGAGTGCCAACCTCAAGTTGAGTCCAAAGAAGTGCTCACTATTCAAACGGCAAGTTAGTTTTTTAGGGTATGTAGTGTCGGAAGAAGGTATCCGCACGGATCCAGAAAAAATTGCCGCTGTCAAGGAGTGGCCGGTTCCAAAAGACAAGACACAGGTTAGAGCATTTTTGGGTTTGTGCTCTTATTATCGGCGATTTGTGAAGAACTTTGCAGATATAGCCAAACCTCTGCACAAGCTAACCGAGGAGAAGCGACATTTCTGCTGGGATGAAAGTTGCGATATTGCATTCCAGGAGCTCAAGAACCGTCTGTGCAAAACACCTATTTTGGGGTACCCTGATGCGGGCAAGGAATTCATAGTTGACACAGACGCAAGTGATATAGGACTTGGCGGTGTGTTGTCTCAACGGAATGGTGACCAAGAGATTGTGATAGCGTACTTCAGCAAGTCATTGTCAAAGCCGGAAAGGAACTACTGTGTCACAAGACGCGAATTGCTTGCTGTGGTAAAGTCCTTGCAGCATTTTAGCAAATATCTTCTAGGGCGGAAATTCCACTTACGAACTGACCATGCTGCACTGAAATGGCTATTGCAGTTCAAAAATCCGGAAGGACAAGTTGCGAGATGGATTGAACTACTGCAGGAATACGACTTTGTGATCGAACATCGCAGCGGGAAATCTCATAGCAATGCAGATGCATTGTCAAGAAGACCTTGCCCTGAAGATTGCAAGCATTGTACTATGCAAGAGGGTAAGGAAGTGGTATCTGTGAGGATGCTCAGGACAGACCAGCTCAGCAATGAGTGGAAGGACAGCCTACAACATGCACAGCAGGAAGATTCGGATATTAAGCCGATTCTGGAATGGATGAAGGCCAGTGCTCCTAAGCCCAAGTGGAGCGACGTCTCAGCAATGAGTTCGACCACGAAAAGCTATTGGGCCCAATGGGACATCTTGCTGATTCAGGATGGAGTCCTGTGCCGTAAATGGGAAAATGGTCGGGGAGACAGTTGTCATTTACAAATGGTTGTCCCTAAGGCTAAAGTACCGGATGTTCTACAGCTGTACCATAGTGGTTGTTCAGGAGGCCACCTGGGAGTTAAACGAACTCTACTGAAAATCCGAGAACGGTTTTACTGGGTCCACTGTCGTGACGATGTCGAGGACTGGTGCCGCAAATGTACAAGTTGTGCGGCTGTAAAGGGACCTCAAATTCGTAGTAGAGGCGCATTGAAATTGTACAATGTTGGTGCACCATGGGAGAGGATAGCCATTGACGTTGCGGGGCCGTTTCCGGAAAGTGAAAGTGGTAACAAGTATTTCATGGTTGTGATGGATTACTTCACTAAGTGGCCAGAAGTCTTCGCCATTACAAATCAAGAAGCTTCAACAATTGCAGATAAACTAGTTCATGAAGTCTTCTGTCGTTTTGGAGTACCTTTAGAGATTCACAGCGACCAAGGAAGGAATTTCAAGTCTTAAATATTCCAGGAAACTTGCAGAGTTATGGGTACTCATAAAACACGAACAACTTCTTACCACCCACAATCTGATGGAATGGTAGAACGATTTAATCAGACGTTGGAAAGGTACCTGGCAAAAGTTGTGGAAAAACGGCAACGAGACTGGGACAGGCACATACAACCGTTTTTGTTGTCATATCGAAGCGCTGTTCACGAAAGTACGTCAGTGACGCCAGCTTTCGCAAACTTTGGGAGAGAATTACGGCTGCCTGCAGACCTGATCACCGGAATACCACCTGATGCCCCACGCAGTATAACCGATTATGCAAATGACTTGCGGAACAAAATGAATGAGATTTGTGAGCACGTCAGACAGACGGGCCAGCAAACGTCTGAGAAGATGAAAACACGGTATGACCGCAAAATGAACAACAAGGGGTTTGATGAAGGTTCACTAGTGTGGTTACACAATCCAGTTCGCAGCAAAGGGAAATCTCACTAAGCTTCAAGCTAAATGGGACGGACCGTACCGGATTGTGACAAGGATCAATGATGTAACCTACCGGATACAGAAAGGTGCCAGAGGTACTCCTAAGATTGTCCATGTGGATCGACTGGCGCGTTATTATGGGGCCAATAATGCTCGGGACGAGCATGTCTTAGGAGGGGACAGTGTTGCGCGCCACTATTAATGTCTTGTACATAGCAACACTAGTTACACTAGTGCCCTCTAGTGTCGAGTAAATGAAAGCATTGCGCGTCACTATTAATGTCTTGTACATGGCAACACTAGTTACACTAGCGCCCTCTAGTGTCGAGTAGCAGAACTAGGAGAGTCGAGATCCTTCCAGAAATTTCGGGACCGATATGTACTCGAACATTCTAGATGTCGCTACAGTAGAAGATTCTGGAAATTATCTGAGGCCCTATATAAGGCCGGTATAGACCACGACCGAGGCAGTATTGAATTGGCGATACAAGAGAATACTTCGAAGCGAAATAACGGCGAACTGTGTTTTATTATTAGTGTGATTTTAGATTGTAATTAGTGTTGTGTAATTAAAGTGTTAATTTTGGTAATTCAATCGGCAGTTTTTAATTGTCTCGAACCCCAAGCTCGTAACAATACGATACGTCTCACGACTGTGCAAGAGCTCCTTATTAACCATAGTGTTTTGTTGGCAAGAAAAAGAGCCGCAATGCTTCAATGCGTATTATAGGTTTTCACACGTCCACGGATTTTACTAAACTACTCAGACATTTAGGATTCCTCACAACGTTATTCTTCACCACTTCACTAACACGTGGCAAATCAGCACAAGATTTCCTATACCCGTGTCATTAGTACTCGCGGGAATCGTACACGTTTTTCTCCCTCTCTCTCATCAATGAATGGAAGGACAGCCTACAACATGCACAGCAAAACAATGACAAAAAATAAACGTGAATGTAATAAGTCTACCACTTAGATATCTGAAAATATTCAATAAAAGTTACCGAAATATAACATTGGTAGACACCTATGGTGGTCTCAACGTCATGGTAGACAGGTTGACAAGTACTATTTATTAACTTCCTTCTGCGTAGCATTGAAAGAAAGTTAATGGTTTTAGCTGGCAGTCTGTTAGTCTGTATGCCGACACGATAACTTCCGTTCCACTGGACCGATTGACTTTAAATTTGGTATGTGGATACCTTGAGGTAGTAGCTCGGTCGAGTTTGAATTTGGGTCCTGTAGGTCAAAGGGCACCAGAGATATTCACGCAGAAGGTTGAGAAGTTGTTTTTCTTGAATTTACATTCAACTCGTTCTTTATAATTTACGTTATTTCAATAAAGCTGCAATTTATATATGTTGTTGATAATATTATTTGATTAAAGTTTGTAAAAAATTACCTCTCGTACATCCGCTAGGTAATTTTTTACCAACTTTAATATAATGGATTTCCGCAAGGTAACGCCTGATTCTATTAATAATATTATTTGACATATATTGAGGTCCTATCACTCAGGCAGACAACAAACTTCAATGGCGTCCATAAGCGCGTGCTATAGCACTCGCAGCTGTTCTTTAGTATTAGTCATCATCATCATCATTAAAGCCGTTCACAAGTCCACTGCTGTACGAATTCCACAAAGCACGGTCCTAAGCCATCCGCATCCATCGACTTCCTGCATGTCTCACCAGGTCGTCACCCCATGTAGTAGGGGGCTGCCCTATACTTCGCCTACCGGTACAAGGCTGCCACTCAGGAACCTTTCTTCCCCATCGGTTGTCGGTTCTTCGAGCTATATGGCTGGCCCATTGCCACTTCAGCTTACTAATCTGTTGGGCTATGTCAGTTTCTCTGGTTCTTCTGCGGATATTCTAATTTCTTAGTTTATCACGCAGAGAAACCCCGAGCATAGCCCTCTCCATAGCTCGCTGAGCGACCTTGAGCTTCGTCATACGGCCAAAAATGAAGGACCACATCTCATATTCATAAGCCATCATTGGCAACACGCATTGGTTGTACAATCTCGTTTTCAAGCCTTGACCTGAGGAGAAAATGTGTCGTAATGTCCCAAACGAGCCCCAGCCGAGATGAATCCGGCGATTTTCGAAGGTCGAAGTTGGACTTACCTAGTCGGACTATTTGTCCCAGCTAAACATCCTCCATCATCCAGTCAACAAATTCGAGCTTAGTGCTCCCAACAACTACAGGCATAGGTGTGACATGGGCGTTACACATAATCTATGTTTTGTCTATGTTGATCGTAAGATCTGTCCGTTGGAAGGCATCTTAATATATGTCCGTTGGGAGGCACTATTGAAGTCATTGAGCACTCCAACGATTCTGCCATATAGACTATATCATCGGCAAATTAGAGGTGAATGATGTACTCGTCATAGATGTTAGTACCGTATCAATAACCAGTTGCTTGAACAGCAGTTTCGTAATAGTATGCAAACCAATTGTTTAGACCAATGTTTTTTTTTACTTTATTAAAAAGACATTTACAGGAATAACATCTCCTTGGAACTTCAGGGATTCCTTCTTGCTTCTCTACCATCCCTCGCTGAGCATCCACGACCATGTTATTCCAATCCTGAGCGCACGCTGCCCCGCGTATTCTGGTAGGGTGGGGCGAGGGGGGGGAGCAAAATTCCGCTCAAAAACATAACTGCGCGGGACAAACAGAGCAACAATACCAAGGCGACCCCTGCCACGCTATCCGTGAATTTCTGCAACATCAGGGGATTTCACTCTAACCTAAACACCGTCCACTACCATCTCGAGACGGTGAAGCCGGCCTTGCTCTTTCTGACCGAGACGCAGGTTTCCTCTCCGGCTGATATTTCGTATCTCTCCTACCCGGGGTACAAATTGGAGCACTCCTTTGTGCCTCGGGCTGGAGTTTGCGTGTATGTCAGAGAGGACATCTGTTCTCGACGCCTCGGCAGTCTTGAAGGTTCGGACCTGTCCATCCTTTGGCTACGCGTAGACAGCGACGACCATCCGCGCGTCTACGGGTGCCTCTATAGGTCCCATAGCAGTAATGTCGAAACAGATCGATTCATCGACCACGTCCAATTGGCTACAGATTCCTTGCTACAACAGATTCCATCCGCAGAGATCGTAATCCTTGGCGATTTTAACGCCCACCATGCCAAATGGCTCGGTTCACGTTTAACCGATCATGCGGGGAGATCTGTTTATGACTTTGCCTTGGCATATGGTCTGACACAATTGGTTACTTCGCCTACGCGGATTCCAGATGTGGAGGATCAAACACTTTCCCTGTTGGACCTTCTGCTGACCTCTCATCCGGACGGATATCAGGTTTCCGTCGATGCCCCTCTCGGCTCTTCGGACCATTGTCTGATCCGGAGTATGGTGCCTCACGCTTTCGCGGTTGCGTTCTGCAGCTTGCCGCCGTATTTGGCGTTACAGGTTGGCGGATTGGGACAAAATGCGGTCTTTCTTTGCATCCTACCCATGGGGGCGGATTTGCTTCTGGCCGGATGATCCTAGCGCTGTTGCTGACTCTGTCACTGATGTGGTGCTACAGGGAATGGAACTATTTATTCCATCATCTATGGTACCTGTACACGCCCCTAGTTGCCACGACAAAGGTCGACTATACAGGGGCCCATACAGCTGTAGATTCGACGGACAACTACGGGTGGGGCTCAAAATGCCTATGGAGAATTATTCTATCACAATAAACTATATGGAAAATGTTCTATCCTACTACAATGAGGGAGAATGCTAGTCAAATTAATAGTACGTACCTGGGTTTGAGGCGAAGACTGTCCCAAAAGTTCGGTCAGGCCGTAGGTGTGTATGTATCGAGTATAGTGGTGTTTTGTGGTGTTAGTGATGATAGACCTGACGGGACCTTCGAAGTCGGCAGCAGACCGGACTTCGGCGCCGCTCCAAATTGTGGTAATCTCCCGCGGCGTCACCCACCGTCACTTTCTTCCTTCTTCACTATGACAGTCTATTAACTATACCTCCAGACGCCACTAACACTAAACTAAAGCGTAACACACCTCTAATACCGAAAACGTATCCGAACTATATCAAATTTAAAGGCCGGCAACGCATCTGCAATTCCCTCCCTGGTGTTGCAGTTGTTCATGGGCGGCGGTAGTCACTTACCATCAGGTGAGCCGCAGGCTCGTTTGCCCCCTCTCCTATAAAAAAAAAGGCCGCACGAGCAATTAAAATTGTCAAATCACTTATATATGCTATCAAATTAGAATAACCAAATTCGCGGTAAATTAGGCGCCCATAACACGAAATTCAGATTTTGATCGCAGTCAATGTTAACTTCCTAACAATTTGTCAGCCCGGCGTCGATTTCTAGACTTAACAAAGAAACCTTCGTCGTGGCAACATCTGCTAACAAAACCGACTCCAAAAATGGAGGTTTCCCGGGCGACTTTAAACGTGCTCTCAATGGCACAGTATTTTAGCAACTCCGACTCGACCCCGCCGCCGGTAGGAACTAACTCTCTCGCGCGAACGTCAAA